GTGTTGATATTAGTTTGTCATGAAGAAGTACCATGAAAGTTTCGCATAGTTTCGATGGAACTGCGTGGGCGTCGGTCATTTGCTCTCTTGTTAAATCGGTTTGTGCAAGTGAGAGCATATCATTAAAACTCCTTAAAAGTATGAGGGGCGCGAGCAGCAGGATTGGTAGCCAGGCTGCCAGTGTGAGTTTGAAAGGGTTTAATTATGCTCACTTGATGACTGTGCTTGTTTATTGCATTTTCTCGTAGTAATCAACCGTCAGACGCTTGCTTATTCGTTTTTATTAAGCAGAACTGCAAAAGAGGACTGAGGTAAGCTGGCGTCGACTGGAGGAGTCGCGGCGAAGGGCGTCACGGATTGATGATTTGTTTAGCGAGGAGCCGCCATCATCATCCAGCGGTCAGCCGAAGCGGCGCCGCACCTCTGCGACCGGCGGCGCCACGTCAACCACTTCAAGTGCAACTGCAGTAATTGATGAAAACAACAGTTTGTCGCTAGTGGAACAGTGAATCTCGCTTATTTGTTGTTGCTCACGTGAGGGCGCACGTGGATGTGGGCAGCAGAAATTGTCCTGACTTTTTGCTACTGATTTCTAGTCTTGCCACCTCAAAGCTGCCCTTTTTTTAAGTCTGGACGTAAATTACCGTTCCTCGGTCTGCTCTGGTTTATTCCATGGTCGAATTTTTCACGACTTGAAGTACCGGGTGTACAAATGATGCCAAATCGCTGTTTGTTGCCTGTCATCTGCATTTATGCAGTACAATTTCTTTAGTGCGGGTTCCATTCAGGATCAACCAGATAATGTCATGTAGCTCATTTCAGATTAGATCCCAGGTGGGCATGTGATGCTGGCCGATACGTAGAATTGAGGTCGGTGTCTCCCGAACAATTAGTGCGTTCGGGAGCGGCTAGGCGGTGACGCAGATGTTTTGTAGGAGGGTACAGATGTATACCACATAGTACAGTGACTCCGAGGTAAGCTGTTTATGGGAAAAGCACAGTCGTTTCGTTTTTCTGCTAACATTCATAGATCGAGTCAGAACTCCTTCCGCGTTCCTGTATGAGAAGTAAAGGCACTCGAAAACAGCACGTACTAGCAGCATGCCTTGCGATGACGCTTGGCACCAATACAGCGTTGGTTCTGACAGTCTGTTGTACGCCAATACCAGTCTAGCTGCAAAACATTGTAAGAGAATTGGTTCCATCGGTCGATTTTGAACTCTCGACGCTCGGCACTGGCACAGCGTTGCACGCCGCTACGCCATTTCCAGGTACCGTTTCCTCATGCTGCCGCTAGCGTACGGCCCTGCGATGGAAAAGATGTGGTAGTAGCGGACAGCCCACAGGGAATATCTGGAGTTCCAGCAGTTCAGCGAATGCAATGTTTGGCCTATGGGCAGTTGGCAGTTGGTTGAGTCCGGCTTCACTTCAGTTCTGGCTTCAAAACGTCTGTCATTCGAGGGTTATCACAGATAGCATAGCTACCCTGTATCTTTCGAGGACTTGTTGTAAAAGTCAGGTGGGACTGCTGCGATTACGTGCGTCCTCTCTTTTCTGCTCGCGAATTATGTTATTTTGAGCATGTTATCGTTGTGCCGATTCTGCAATAGCCTCGTAAGAATCGGTTTTCCTTTTCTGTGCGTGTGCTCGTTTTTAGGCGACAGACAGTTCATTTATGTTCGAGCTTGTCATGCGCGCTTCTCAGTATGCCGCTGCTCAAGCACGGCCCAGGAGAATTTGCGTTTGCGAATGTTGAACAGGCGATATCCGTGCTCACGCAC